TGTTTTGATCAGTGCAATCTGTAGTGTCTCTTCTCACATTCATTTTGGTTTTTTCTTTCTCTTCCATTTTTGTAATGACCATTTGCTTTCTTCATGGATATCACTGGTATCATCCTACAACTCATCTGGCCTTCAATCACTGGTTTTCCAGGCCTCAAATCTATTCTTAAGATGATCTTGAAATTCAGATGGTATTGATTCAAGTTCATTATCTTTGCTTCTATACTAATTTTAAAAGTATATACACCTCCTTCTATTTATGGTATATCGATTTCTGTAATAGAAATCTAATGTTTAAAAATACTGACCTTAGAAAATATTAATGACTGTCATAAATTATTCTAGCCTACTCTAGCTTCCTTTACTATTTTCCAGAATTTCTCTATTCATAAACCAAAAACTCACTGCTGATTAGTGAATTCTAATTCATAAGGATCCTTTAGGACAAAGTAGAACTGCCAAAAGGTTTCCCGAAGTTGTAATCTTTACAGAAGCTATCACATTTTTCTCCCATGGAACAGCTGACAGGTTCAAATCACTTGTCTTTGAGTAAGCAACCAATCCCTAAACTACAGATGGCACCGTAAAAACTACTCTCTACCTGTATCGAAGGGTAATTTCAAGAACTTTAAGAGGTCTGCTGATAGGGCAGAGTAACTGAAAACTAACTGGTCCTACTATGTAGGAACTAGAAAACTAGATACAACACACGAAACAACTGTTTTTAGACAAGAGAAAGAGCAACTTTCAAACCTGGTACAGAGCTGAAGTACAATAGAACAGCAAATAAAAATCAAAATTCAGAGCAAGAGAATGCTGGGAACTGTGCAAAGAGTAAAGGTAGAAAAGATGTACACCTTATAGAGCACCGAGTTTCAGTTTATAGCGATGGAAAAATCCCATTAATTATCCTTGCTGCATGGTCAATTAATATAAATGCTGTGAATAAGGAATATACCTATAAAAGTTAAATTACCAAAAGGTATGTGATAAGTTTTTATAGCAACCACAGGAGCTAAGGCTGTTTAACTATCATGGTCTCACTGATGGTCAATCCAATTAATTAGCCTAACCGTGTATTTTATTTTACTATTGTAAACAGGTCAAAAAATGCTTTAAAAGACAGAGTCAATTAATTATAAGATTAATGAAATTATTTATGCTATGCCTGGATACAAGGGGCAAGAGTGAAATCTAAATTATACTATATCCAAATCCATGTGCTGTGGGAAACTTGATCACCCAGTTTCACTGTTAACAGTTAACATATATACAAGGCTCAATGAATGCTACACCTATGCTAAAGGTTTCACATTTACTATCTTGAGTATACTAGCATAACTAATAACTGTTGTTGTTATGTGCCGTCGAGTCGACTGCGACTCATAGCGACCCTATGTACAACAGCGCTAAACCCCACTCTATATAGTTAGTAGTATGAAAATGTAAACTCTGATACCAAAGTTAGCATATTTTACTACAATGTATTAGCTTCACTGAAGAAAAATATTTGACAAAGAGCATTTCTACCTTGAGCCTAATCAGAATTTTCTCCCCTACTATCTGATTCAATTTAACACAACAATGAAATAAGTTTAAAATAAGGGCATGAAAATCTACTATTCATAACCAAATACCACCCTCTACTTACCTTCTGTATTACTGATTATTGGCTCAGGAGTGATCCTTCCATCATTTACATTAGCACTCTCTTCATCAGCATACACGAGATGGTCATCTTCCCTATTTTCTGGCCAATGTGGCACTTCATGTGTATCTGTTGAGCAGGTGCAGACATCTTCATTCTTGCTGAAATATCTCTGCAGCCATCCAGGGACAATATTCTTAACAGATTCTGTAACCCTGCTAAGAATGCCCTGCTGGGAAGAAAAAAAGACATAAGACCATTTTAGAACTCTACTTCTTGGAGGATTGTGGGTGGAGTGTCAGGGGCAAAAGATGAGACAAAAACCTTGTTACAAAAGGCTAACAAAGGAAAAACTCAGCCATTCCCACCAAGGTTTAGTTAAAGAAGGCTCTGAGGAATTAATTTTATTATGACTATTTTTAAGGGCGAAAAATTGACATGTTATAACTCCTAGAATTGCTCACATTTATTGAAGCTTATTATCTTCTGGGCACTGGTCTAAGCAACTTGATGATGATGATGAAGATGATTTATTAGTCATGCTAAGTCTGACAGTAACTTTATGATGCTGAAGACAATAAAGTGACCATAATAGCAAACACTACTCTGGTATACCAAGAACAGAGTAAAGGCATGGACTTTCAAGAAACTTGATAGAACCTAGGGTCAAATGTGAGCACCTCTCTGTACTTTGACAAGCATTCTATTTTTACTTAATAAGTAATATAATGAGATCAAATAAGAAAAGGTGAAAGTAAGTCACAAAGCAAAACAAGAACACAAAATATTTCCAATACTTGGGGGGGGGAGGGAGGAAATGGGAAGGATCTGGGCTAAAAGACTGGGTAATGATGGGCAAGGTCCAATGGTGATTAATGTTATAAAACATAGTGCATAAGAATAATTGTATGAAATACAATGCAAATGAAGAATAGTGTGAAACACAATGTATACGAACTTTTAACCAATTAAAAATCATTTCCAAGACTGTTAATGTTGTTATTATTGAGTAGGAAAACCAAGAAGAAACTGAGGGTGAGGTTAACAATTTATTTCAAGCTACAATTTCCTTCAAAGTGGCACTGCAGGATTTTTTTAAAAAAACACTGCCAAAATACCTTCACAAACTCATCAAGCTCAAAACTCATTGTTATCAAGTCAGAACCAACTCACAGCTGACCATCCAGAGAATTTTCAGAGGCTGTAAATCACATGGGAGACTGTCCATATTTCTACCAGATAGCTTGTAGATTCAAACAGCAGAGGTGTGCAACTCTTATTGACTAGTAAGATTTTTAGAGAAAATGGTCCTGGAAATGGCTTAAGCAACACATAACACAAATGTTAAAGAGGCTCTGAAAAGTTGTATCAGCAGAAATTATTTAGATTCTGTCATTACCCAAAGAGGAGTATTTTTCTTGCTGTTGATGTCGTGGTGATGGTCATGGTGTACCACTGAGTCTGAGCCAACTCAGAGTTGACCCTCTAGAAGGTTTTCAAAGGCAGTAAATCGCATGGACTGAAACTGCTAATCTATTTTAGAAATTTACCTCGTAGCTTAGAGATTCATATGGAGTGCTTTTGGGTTGGTAGGACAACTCCTAAGCACTAAATCACCAGAGCTCACTAGTATTTTTCCTTATCACCTGAAAAAGGGAAGTAACAACTCAGCAGAGTTTAATTACTTCCCCAACTATGGAAACAACAGAAAATATCAAAAGATATGCAATATAAAGTTTCTAGCATACTCATGACATAGTAACTCAATATAATGAGAAATATAAATTTTACTATTTTGTATTTTACATTTCTGTGCTGAAGTTATAGTTTACTTTGGGGTAGGGGGAGAATTATTGACCTATACCCAAGATTTTTAAAGAAACATGCATATAATACTATTTCTCTTTCATCATATTTACAATAGTTTTACTCAAAGACTGTAAAACTTGGAGAAAAGTAAAGCACAAAGTAGACTAAAGTATACCTGATCTAGGATATAGTCTTCACAATTGTGTGCTATGCATCAGAGAGCTGGACAGTGACTAGAGATGATAGAGAATTGATGCCTTTGAGGTGTGGTGCTGGAGAACAGTGTTGAATATAACACAGACTGCTAGGAGAACAAATAGGTTTGTCCTGGAAAGGGTGAAGCCGGGCTGCTCTTTGGAGGCAAGGATTCTGAAGCATCATCTGACATACTTTGGGCATGCTTCAAGAAGGGACCAGTCCTTGGAGAGGGACATCATGCTTGGGAGGCTGGAGGGAGAGCGCAAGAGAGAAAGACTCTCAATGAGATGGATAGATTCAGGGATTGGGGTAATGGAATAGATGTGTTGGAGGCAGTGAATCATGTTTGGGAGGGTGGAGGGACAGTGCAGAAGAGGAAGACCCTCGATGAGATGGATCGATTCAGTTATTAGAGTAATGGGAGTAGACAGTGAGGTGTGCACAGGTTAGAGCAGGGTGTAGGTCTCTTGTACATAGGGTCACTATGAGTCACAAGCAACTCAACGGCACATACAACCACCACCACCAGAACTTGATGTACAATAATTTCTTGTGGACTTGCTCTAAGGTATTTGGCTATTAACAGCACCAGAGAAGCCTGTGATGTTTATTTCTACTACAGGTGGACCTATAGGTCCACCTAAGCTCAAATATCAAGAGAGAACGTCTTCAATGATCTTCAGCAGAAGAGCCATTCACCAAAACAGGCAAGTAAAATACAACTTACAAAATTAACTTTAAACTTAGCTGACCCTTCAGCAGGTTTTCAGAGGCAATTAATTGCATGGGAGAAGACTGCCATTTTTCTTCAATGGAGCAACTGGTGGCCTCAGACAGTCAAAACAGGTATCGCAAAACACATGTACTTGCTTAAGAGACCTTCTTTTGGTGGCCTAGTGGTAAGGAGATGTTATGCAAATCCAAAGGATTTGGTTTGAATGCACCAACCGTTCCATGGGAGAAAAGATGAGCAATTTATTTACTGCCTTTAAAAAATCCACTAAAGGGTCAGCTAACTTAATCCACAGAGTTTAGCAGAAGAAAACAGTTAGACACAAGACTAAAGAGGAGCACAATGAAGGACAACAGTAAGAGCTAGACAGTGAAAGAAACAGATTATAAAATTCCACTGAACCTTAAAAAAAAAAAATCCAAAGTCTGGAACCATTATGAAAGAAAAATTATCTATATACTTAGGGAACCAATCTTTGTAGGGTAAATAAACTCAGGTCATGAAAATAAGCTAAACTAAGCTCAGCATAATCTAGCAGCTCTATGGGAGAAAAATGTGGTGTATGCTTAGATGGAATTTGGTCCAGGACTTAAGAACAATAAAGGACGTAGTTGAGCCTCTATATCTTTTGGTACCTAACCTTTATACTGTAATAGACAAGTGCTAGTCAATAAGCCTTTTATTTTAAGAACTACCTTCCCTCTGTAAAGTGATTTGTGCCACTGTTAGAACCTCTACTTGATATATTATTGCTTTTAATTTTTGACTCATGTACTTGTTAGTTAAATTTTAACTTGTTAGTTAAATTTGTGTCTTCTAGGCTGCAACACTTCCATGATACATCTTCAAGGATATGAACATGTACGGCTAAGCACAACTGATAACAGTGCATCTAAATTCCAAAATCAATCTCCACAATAGTCTACGTGTTTGTTTCCCATTGCCAAAGGGGCCCTTTAGAGTAGTGAGAGAAGATGTTCACCGTCCCCTTTTCCTTATGAATCAGGGTGAAGTCTCTCTCAGGGGGGAGTGATAGGGAATGGCAAAGGACACAATGACAAAGGAGATTAATCAGAACTGGCTTTGACAAGCACTGTGGCAATGTGACAATTAAAACAGACTTTCAAGGGGAGAAAAAAGAGGAACAAACGGGGGGCGGGTAGAGAAAATAGTGCAACAATGAATGAATGGAAATCCAAAATCTCTGTAAATGTTCATTAAAATTAATAAAATTTTTTTAAAAAAGGAAGAGTTTTGGAAGCCCGATAGGTCATTCTACTCTGCCCTATAGGGTTGCTATGAGTTGGCATCAATTCAATGGCAGGGAGTTTGTGTTTTGATACTCTAGTTCTAATTCTAGTCCTTTTAACAGAGCAGGATCTGCACCAGTAATATCAACATCACTTCATCCTTATCATCTCTAAATGAGAAACACCCAAAACAAGGCCTTTGAATCAGAACTATCAAATCAAGCCAATTCAATTCTAGTCTAATTCTCTGATACAAATTTATCTCATTGATAGTCTTTCTCTGTTCCTACCCAAGGAGCTCCCATGCTCAGAGCCTTCACTTGAGGCCTGTAGACAGACTGAATTACTGTGCCATTGGTTAGGCAGATACCAACTGATGGATCTTCAGGGTCTGGCTAGGCCATAAAGAAGAATTCCCTCATAGTCATAAAATGTCAGGCCTTGACTCTCTTGGGAAACAAAAATATCTAAATCACTGGGGAAATTTGGAAACTTTTAGAGGTTATTTCTCAGGAACCAAAGATAAGGATAAAATGATTTAGGTAAAGTTAATTATAAATCCAATATACTCCCTCAAGGGATTCTGATGTTGGTTTGGGTGTTTTTCTAAACTTAAGTCTTATTAAATAACATTTTATAGAATAAACTGGTATATCTGTATACAAGAGTTTGAAACAATTGCTAACTAAAGGGAGCTCTCCTGGTCGAGTGCATAAGGAGTTGTTCTGCTAACCCAAAGGGACACAGTTAGAATCCACCAGCTGCTACTCAGGAGAAAGATGGGAAATCCCCCATGCTATTTACAGTTTTTTAAAATCTGCTGCAAGATCAGCTACAAGTCTTGTCAGGAATGAGTTGAGGTGCTCTGTTTAGAAACTGGGAAAGACCTGAAGACCTTTGATTGGGAAATCTGAAGACCCTCA